CCCCAAAACCCCAAAACCCCAAAACCCCAAAACCCCATATAAAAATTAACCTTTGAATAAATCAAATCAAGGAATAAATTAATGTCTAAAAGAACTAAGAAAACAGAAGACAAAGAAGAAGTCACCACTGGGTGGAAGCCAGAAGATGAAGAAGAGAAGAAGGAAAGACCAAGAGCTAGAAGATCCACTAGGAGCAAGAATAAAGTAGCTACATATGATCTAGACGTCATCATTCCTAAAGTGACTGCACCTGATGTCTCTTCAAACCCAATGCTGGCGAGCAAGTATGACGGCACTCAAGATATTAAGGGATGGATCATGAGCGAGAAATTAGATGGAATCAGGTGTATTTGGGATGGAGAGAATATGAAATCAAGAGCAGGTAATAAGTTCTACGTTCCTGACTTCTTCATTGAAAACTTCCCAAAAGATATGGTACTTGATGGAGAACTCTTCCTTGAAAGAGGTGAGTTCCAGAAAACAGTTAGTATTGTTAAAAAACAGGATAAGAGTGATAGATGGAAGCAGATTAAATACCTCGTTTTTGATGGGCCTGGCATTAGAGGAAACTTTTCTATGAGACTTAAAGTTCTTGAAAAGAAATTATCAGATGTAGATTCCAAATATCTTGAACTCCATAAACATGAGAAATGTAAGGACGAAAAGCATCTACAGGAAGAAATGAAGAGAGTCGTTGCCCTTGGAGGAGAAGGAATGATGATTAGAGATCCAAAATCTAAATATGAGCATAGAAGAGTCAAGACCATGCTTAAGGTCAAAGAATTCCATGACGATGAAGCTACAGTTATCGGCTCAGAGAAAGGAACAGGAAGATTAGAGAGGTTAATGGGGGCTCTAGTTGTCAAAAATAAAGCAGGAAAGGTCTTTAAAGTAGGAAGTGGGTTCACTGATAAGGAAAGAGCAAGCCCACCTAAGAAAGGAACTACCATTACTTACAGGTATTTTGAATTGACTAAGGATGGAGTTCCAAGATTCCCAACTTATATGAGAGTTCACCCGGGAATGTAATCTGATAAATTTTGTCAATCTTCAATAATCAACCAACGAAAAGGGGTTTTGGGGTTTTGGGGTTTTGGGGTTTTGGGG